AAACTAATAATTAACGGCCCAATAACCAGATAAGGATTAGCAGCGATCTGCGACTTGAAGTAGGAGCCGAAAGGCTTCGCGCCCCCGCTCGCCAATAGTGAGCGCAAAGTGGGCGCGATCGATGCCGCCGATGCCTAATAAATAAAATCCCTTATCCGATTAGTGCTGATGGTTAGGAGAGCTAGCGCGCCGCCATTGGTAACTGGACGATTGGAAAATTGTATACCTAGGTGCACGGGCGAAGGATAATGCCTACGGTGCGTCAATCGATATTGTCGATTAGAAGTAATGCTTAATGAAAGTCCTTCTGGTCGCGGATAGCGTTAAGCTACCGAAGCTGCCAACATTCATTCACGAAGAATGGACTGGATCGGAAAGAATGGAAAAGAAATTGTCGCTGAACACGCATTGAGTTTTGGGATTTATTCGGCCAATCTGCCAGGGGATAACTTGACACATGATTTTTTTGCGTAACAACGAACCGAAGCCTAAAAGAAAATACGAAGTGTTTTAATTATTTATACCCTCATTAAAGGTTTATTGTTAATCTTAATCGTATGATCAAAAAATGTAGGATAGTTGATTTCTGATTTTTTTGCGAAGAAAATGGGATATTGAGAATTATCCACCGCTTGCCGAACTTCTGGTCGTTAGACGTCTCTCCTAGCATTACTGCCGAACAAGGGTCGTAAACTAAGTAAACGCGCCACCTGGCACAACAATTTCTTCTGCACTTTTTCTCACCCGCCCCATAAGCCCATACACGTGTATCTTTTCGTGCTTTCGTCTTTTCGTTATTGCCAAAAATATACTCCCAGGATCCTCGATATAACGCCGTTGGCGTTATTGCTTCGGGCGTCATTGCTCGTCTTTCTGCTGCAAACGGGAAAAATAAACAAGATTTTGCGCGTGTGTGGGAGGTAAATGACAAAATATAAAGCGTCATAAAAACGCCAAAACAAAGAAAATCAAAAGCTGTACACACAACTCTATTGTAGTGCTAAACAGCTCAATATTAGAGGTAAAATGACAAAAAAGTAAGGTTTAGGTACAAATTATAGTGGAGATAATGTACGACTAATGTCATTCTTGTTTTTTCCTGTAAAAGAGATTATTTCAAGTAGATAATACCTATATCCAATATTCGCTTTTATTCTCATGTATTCAAAATGTCTAATTATTTAAATATCTAATTTTTTACTTTGTACATTTAATTTTGCAAAATTAAAGTTTTCTTTTTTCGTTAAAAATTAATTTGCGAAAGCAAAAAAGGGGAGGAAACGATGAAATCGCTGCGTTGTATGCTCCATTCAAATATTGACAAAACAATTGCGCTAATGATGATGACTCTTTTTCTTCTTTTTTCGGCGTTTTCTTTTCGTGGCATTAGATCTGTTTGCGGTTCGCTTTTTACGGTTCCTTCTTTTCATCGCACATCGCCCGGCCGTACTTGACGCCGCCAGCAATGACAAACGTAATAGTGCAGATTCAAATGCGGAGCGGCCACGGGTGGCAGAAGCAATTTATTTACGACGCGCGGTAACATCGCGTACCACGCGCCGCCCCCGCTTATGCCATGCCTTTCGATATATGCCGCCGGATGGAAGGAAACTTCACATCGCACATCAAGCACATACGCATGCACGCTCATGCACAAATGTTACCTTATAATGGGCCAATGGTCGGGTATTTCATACACATACCCACCCCTATACCCCATACAACCCTACAGTTTACAGCATGTAGATATAACTGCGGAGACTTTGAAGCGCGCGGCGTTTCTCTTCGAGACTAGACATATTCGGAAATTTCGCTTTCCATCCGCGTTCGGTGGCGGCGGTTGTTTTCGTTTACGCGCCGACAGACGCCCCCTTACGCGCTGTGCTTTATCCTTGTTGTTTACATATTTCACCCGCTCTCTGCGTGCACTTGCTTCTTTCTGTTATAGTGTTTTCTTCATTCCGCTATCCGAGAATTATTCTAATGGCTAGTGGTTTACAGTGTGAACATCTGTAAATCAGTCATATTGGATTATCTCTTATATTATTAAACCCACACTATATTTATAATCTATTGTATTGTGATGTGTGATTTTTGCATAACTATAAGGGTATCTTATGGATTTTGAGCAGTACGTTGCATCCAACTTGCGTTTAAAACATTACCCTTAGTTGGGCTTATCGATTACCGGAACGCTATTAATTTCCTTTGTTTTTCGCGGCGTTTGTTTCGTTTTATACCTACGTTTGTTCGGTTTTTGCGTCGGTGAAAGCAATAGTAACACTTATGCGTACACCTTTATTGCTTGGGAGTAAAAGAAAGGGAAAACGCGTTAAAGGGAGCGGCAATAAAAAATATAAGTATCGCGGCAACGTGTTACGCATTCTCCTGGCTTTCTTCTGGTTACTTTTCTCACCGGCGTGTCTATTTCTTATTCGCGGGCGTTGCTTTTTTCGGACGCGCGCTTGAGCTTCCGAAGTTTAACGGTATTCTAAGATGTATATAAAGGGGGTAAAAAACATCATTTCGATATGACTTTTTACGCGCTCGTAAACTATAAAAATCTCATCTTACGCGCGCGCTACCCCTTAATCAATACTTTTCTCGGCCAAGCAATTTCGTGCACTTTTTATTGTAGTGAATGCGTGCGCCGAGGGCACGCTCTTTAGTTGAGTTTATAGTTGGTGAGTTAAGACGAATAGGTGTTACCCGCCTGCTGGGAAAAAGCGTTTTTTTGTGGTTTTACAGGCGAAAAAACCCTCAGGGATGTAAAAAAGTACCTAATAACTTGGTGAATTATGCTTATCGCTAAAGGTTTAAATTATAATCATTGATTAATATTGAACTTGCGTATTTTTATGTATTTAATAATCAAAATATTAGCACTCAACAGTTATTTTAAATTACACCTTGAAAAATATTCAGAAGTTCACTACAAAATACTTTGACAATGAAAAATCTAACCGATTTTCATTAACAGTTACCGATGAAGCTGCAATCAAAATAGTTTCATTATAAACCAAAACCAAAAAGAAATAATATAAAATCGCGCTTACAAATAATTACGAACATAAATCTTCGGGTACTTTGCTACATGTTAGTCGTGCTGTAAAATTGAACACAAACATTAAATCGTCAGTATGTATTCTTCGTTAATAAAAGCTATAAACAAAAAAAGCAACTGATTCTCAACTTGTACGCGCAGTATTACTCAAAAGCAAGATAGAGATGCGATCTTATAATAAACCTTACAACTGGACATAAATAATAAATGTCATTATATTTACACTAATTAGAAGTAACCCGAAAAACTTTATATCTTGGCCCATGTAAATAAAAACGTCATAAAACGCGAGACGCCACTGTGAAACCTGCACCATGGGTAATTATTGCTTGCTTCAACAACTATTTCGGTAGTATTCAGATAGCACAAATAATAATTAATGCAAGATGTTGCTACATGATGTAATAATGTTTTACGATTTTATTTTATCAGAAACCATGTGTATAATAATGTAGAATTATATTTTCCGGTATTTACTCGGTGAGTAAAGAATCAGTGCGGGGGTGACGAAAAGTTTGCACAATGTTAATTGTTGTGATTTGTACAAAACAGTTACAGCTTTGATTTGCATTTCTGAGCATACTTTTCGCTTTTGTTGCGTTTACCTCACAGCGCTCGGCGGTTTAAGTGTATCTTTCTCGGTGGTAACCCCAACGCTTCCCCTATCCCACTCGATCTCAGCGTATTTCGAATTTTCACGCCGCTTTCCACACCGCTTTTCCGCACACGGCGGAGCAGCATAAAGCCGCCGTACAATGCGTTCAAAGATCGGAATGTTGTCTCCTAACTGGTATTCCACCCTCAAAGTGGAATATTTTTAAATATTTTTAATACTCCTAAATCTACTTCTTTATTTTATTCAAGTAAATTATTGAAGTTAAACATGTTGGTGTCTATAAATTTAAACAGTTGGTATGCACACATGACGAAAATATACAGGGTAGAAATTCAGATGATGAAGGTGACATAAATAGACACAAAAAGTGATGAGTAAATTTGCAAAAAAGATTCAAGCAAACTGATTTAAGTTTCGATGAGCAAGAATTTATCCGACGGCAGATTTAAAGTAAGCGTGATGCAACTAACTCCACTTGCGAAGAGAGCACTCTTCCTACTTGGAAAAGTTGACACCGTTTTCTATAATTAATACAGTAGATTGAAAGAATAAATAGACGAATGTGTATGTTAGCGAGTGTACGCACCAAATGCGCACTATAAATAAAAGCGCATGAAACACATTCGAGAATACGAAATTCCGAGTCATAAACAACACAGCGCCGCATGCCCGAAGAATAGAAATGCAATCGGTTAAAATTTAAGTTTAGCTTAACTGATATACGGATACATACCGTGTTATTCAGCGATTGACCGATTTTTTAAGAAAAAAATGCACACATTTGACATTTGACATTTGCAAGCGACTTTCTACCATTTCATATCAATGTTTATTATATTGTATGATACCTAAATATCAATTGTACTGGGATCTAAATCAAGAAAGTGCTCAAGGATGCATGTTTATTAATTAATTACAATAGAAAGTAGCTGAGACTAATTTATTCAAAAGAGGAACTCTTTAATTCAAGAAATTTTATATCCACTTCTGTTAACATATAAATATATAATTTACTTTTTTGCATTTTAGATTGTAGATCAACACCTGCACGTGCCGAAACAAAGCTGAACTGGAGTAAACTAGTGATGGAGTAAAAGGAGGAGATCGAAGGACGAATAGTGTAGTCCGAGGGATACACTTCGGTCTCCCTTTAGTTCGCATTCTGTGGCAAGTGTCCGTTGCGCACATGGTGGTGCACGCCGATGACGAAATTCGGTTTCGCGCTGCCAGTGCGCGCCGAGCGGAGCGCAAAGTGAAGCACAGCAGCAGCAGCGAGAGCGCGCACGGCGGAGGCGACGCGGCCGCACCGCACCGAACAATTGCAATTGTTATTCGCTGTCAGCCGGTCCGGTTAGACGCCCGGCCTCACTGCGTGCGTGTGCTTCGTGAGCGCAGAGCGCCCGAAGATCGGGTCAGTCGTACGCTGTACGCTTATACTACCTCGGCACTCAGCACGGCACGCCACACACTACCGACGCACCGCGCGCGCACTATCCGACACCTACCCAAAAGTAGGGAGCTTCGCGCCGCGCTTCTTGCAGTCGGACCGAAGATCTCCGCGCGGTAGTAAATCGCATTTCGTCCTACTGCGGGGGCACGTTTTCAGCACGCCGTTGCTGTGCTAGTGCCACTCTTCGCATCGCAAAACAGGTGCACGCCGGCGTGAAAAATAATATCAACTCTTAGTCTAGTTGTAAAGTGCGTGTGGATCGGTGGTGGTTTGGTTTATTTTCGGAAAGTTGTGTGACTCGTCAACGCGCGCGCGTGTTTTTTTTTTCTTTTACGAGAAACCCGCAAAAAACGCGCGGTGAATGAATTCGTGTTACCAATAAATAAAAGGGACATGTGTTCGCGGAGAATGTGCTCAGTGGAGGCGGCCTTGTTGCTGTGCAATTGTTTAAGGATTAAATAATGTTCTGTGATTAGTGTGATACGAATTTGTTACGAAATAATGCGTTTATCGATGGTGACTTTCTAATTGTTTATATTTTCTCAACAAATCATTCGTACATCTTCTATTGTTTATACATATACGAGGGAAACATTTTCGAACGTAAGTGAATTCAATTTTTGCAAATATTTAAAAATTAATTAGGGAATAAACAACAATAAGACCATAAAAATTAATTGCCTGCAAATCAAAACCGAACTTTTATTTGATTGTTTTGTTTAGTTACACATAAATAACAATTTATTTTGTATTGTTGTGTATGCGCGCGCGTGTGTGTGAGTTGTGTGTGTTTATACATTTATTTGCACCAATAAAAATGGCGAATGGGGGATGGTTTGATGTTTGGTTCATTTAATGTTAGATCAATTAAATTGCATTACGTCGTATTGATTTTGCAATTATTGGGAACCAATCAGAAATAGACTTTTTTCTTTGCGTTCTTTGCACAGGCCGCACGCACACGAATACATTCACATCGACGGCGGCGACGGCGGCGGCACAACACCAGCCATGCCATACACAAACACTTCTCCTCTCTCGCAAGTTTACAAGTAATGTCCTTTTCGTACGCGCGCAGAGAATACAACCGCGCACACACACGCCGCCACCGCTGCTGCCGCGCGTATTCGGGGCAATCCCCTTATAATACTATCGAATATCCTTCGACGACGTCTGCGTTATCGGTGTGCTGTGTGTGTATTGTGTGTGCTGCGCGAGTCGAGGATATCAAGCGTGGCTTGGTATGGGGCAGCACTTGTGCTTTCATTTCCCAATTGTTGTGTGCCATGCTTTCGTCTCGGTGGCAGTGGCGGCAGCCGTGCTAGTGGTAGTGTGTAGGTCCCGCGCTGTGTATTGCGCACAAACGCTTGCAAGTTTTCCGTTCGCGCTCCTTGCTTTCTGCCGCTGTTCGTCCCGCTTGTACTCGTCGGCGGTATGCCCGCATTCGTCCTTGTTGCCCTGCCGAGAGCGTAAACGCGCGTGGTACGCGCACGCCAGTGGTTTTTCACTATTTTTGCGCATATCCCTCCAATTTTTGGCCATTGCGCTATTGTCCGGTTACTAATTTTTCGGCAGGCGGCGCGCGCGCTGCTATGTACATAATTTTGCCGCCGCCACTGTCGGGAAATGCTGGTGCGCGCGGCAAGGGGGACATCGAATCGGTTCGGTTTTGGCTGCGGGGACGGCTAGGCGAGCAAGAGCATAGTACGAATGCCCGTACGATTATTGATTTTATACATAATATTGCTTCCTTATGTACGTACATCAACCACTACTCGGTACTCGCCCGCACGTTTTTGACTCTCTGACAATCACACCAAACGCTCGCAATAGTTGCAAATTGTTGGAAAACAACGAAAAATATTTTTTCATCACTTTTCGTGTTGATATATGCAGCCAAAAATACATTCCGTTTTTATAGGTTACGTTTGTTTTGCACATGGCGAACAAAAATGGTAGACTAGGAATGAAAACAGAAATGCGCACCAAAAATACAATATACATAACATAATTATTACCAATGTTGTCGCCCTTAATTAAAAGTTAAATTGAAATCTTAAAAAAAGAATATTTTATAAAAAAAATAAATTAATCGGACCCGAAGTAAACGCCGAAAATTAACGCGACGCTTTCTATTTTTAAAAGGTTACACGTTCATAAATAATTTATAATCACAAAACGCAGGAAAAAAAACTTATTTCGAACATTCGCAAAATGTATTTATTTCAATCGAAATTATATCCACGCCGACCGACTTTATTTTATGTGGACGACAAATTCGCCAACGACACACACGAATTTGTATGCGCCTTCCAATTCAATCCAGTATAATTATACTCGGTACATTCGAATCATACGAAAATACGTTGATTTAAATGTTTTAGTGTTAATTCTTGTGTGTTTCGCATATTTATCGATTTGGCATTGATTATAAATGGGAGTTGTTTGCGAGATTTCTATTACGTCTTAGCCGCGATATCCTTGTTCAATGCGCATGGCGGCTCGATTTGAAGCACGAATTGTATTCGCAATAAATCGAGCCAAGACAACACACACACACGCACACATGCATTCACAAGTTGGTCCGGGCCAAACTGCTGCTATTTAAACTATTAATGCTAATTACTAATCTAGCGGCGATTCATATTCGACATTTGTCGCATACGAAAAAAATCATGTGGTTTTGTCTCGGGACTATTATTTTGCGTCTGGTGACATCTGGCGACCGGTCTCGCAAAAATTAGTTACAGGAATTAGATGTTAGATTATCAATAATTTATGGCTTAAGTGTTTGAATTCGTTTGGCTGGTTTGCATTAATCTAATAATTCGTCGGATGTCGTCCAGTTTGACCGTGAAATGTTCAGCAATGTAAAATCGTCTGCAGCTTAATACTAATTATAAGTGGCAGCGTTCATACATTCATATTATATAAATAGACAATGAGTAATTATTGCTCCATGGATATTCTTGCGGCAGCGCGTGCATTGAAGTCCAAATTAATTTTTAATTAGATACCAGACAGTACGAAATTTATGGATTATGGAACATAATTATAGTTTTATTTATTATTGTTTGTTCCAAATAGCTCGATAGAGCGCGACGAGTGTATTTTTTGTATGTTTTGTTTTATTATATTTGTTGTAATTTTTAAGACGATGACGATTTGTTTGCAGATTGACGCATTGAGGCATTTGACGTCCTGGGAGGCGGCAAAAGGGACAGCATCTTGCATTTCGTCCCCGCGGTGTTCCGACAACGGCTTAACCATTGGTGTAGAGATTGCACCTTCGTTGTGCCCAATGGGGGGCGACACCTCCCCGGAGCAGCAGTATTCGCTGCGATGGAACGATTTCCACTCGTCCATCTTATCCTCGTTTCGCCACCTGCGGGACGAGGAGGACTTCGTCGACGTGACGCTTGCATGCGACGGCTGTTCATTCACCGCGCATAAGGTTGTACTCTCTGCCTGCAGTCCGTATTTCCGGCGGCTGCTGAAAGCCAATCCGTGCCAGCATCCCATCGTAATACTACGCGATGTCCAGCAAAAGGACATGGAGAGTTTGCTGCGGTTAGTATCTAAATTATCCACATAACACATTGCGGGTAATCAATCATTTTTTCCAATTAACACGGCAGAAAAAAAGACTAATTTTGTCCATCCGAGATTCTCGATAACCAAACTTGTGCAGGTGTGCAATTTTTGCGTGCATAACTTTTTGAACCGGTCATTATTTAAGCGCAGAAAAACAATTCGTTTTTGTTTTCATTTAGTTGCGAATAATTAATACGAATTCGGCACGAAGTAGAAGTAAACATTTATATCGAAAAACAAACCCGCCTTCGAATACCGCGTATTTATTATTACTCATTATATGGTGTGTTCATTGAACGTCTGGTGTTTTGTTTCACTACAGACTACTTGAAATTCGACTTACGAATGTCAAAAACGGTGCTTTGTGATTCACTAACTGACAAAACTTTTTGTCACGCTAAAATGTAATATAATGCAATATTTTGTATTTAGGTTTATGTATAATGGGGAAGTACACATTGGGCAAGAGCAACTCACAGACTTTTTAAAGACGGCGCAAATGCTGCAAGTGCGAGGGCTGGCAGACGTTGGCGCCGGAGGCACGCCAGGCCAAAAGTTAACCGCCGCCGAACAAAAAATATCAGCTGTAAGTATTGTATGTTTATACGTATTAAATTTCACACGGAATGAATGCATTTCAACAGCGTAATAGGTATACATTCTCGCTACATTCATATTCGTAAATGTAGATGATTTATCGATTATTTAATCCAAGAGATTAGAATGCTTTGTTTGTAATCCACTGTGCAATCGCAATTATTTATTTGGTGAATGTTTGCGCACAGAACACGACGACATCCTTGCCATGGGGTAACGATCGGGACCTTATCAGGGAGCGAGAAACCACAGGTTTGTCGCCACCACCAGCGAAGCGATCGCGAGGCGGTGATCGTGATCAACACAACAATCGTTCCTACTCCTCGGAGCGGGCGCGCAGTCCGTCCAGGCGCACCGGCAACGGCCACAATGACGAAGACATGCCGGAGTCCCTCCTGGGACAAGCACTTGAAGGCGGTCCAACATTACACACCACCAATGTATGTGCCAATTGGCATAGAGTTTGCATTCTTGACTAGCTGCTTTGTGTGACACTTGTTTTTATTCATTTGCAGGAGCGCAACAAGGGCAATTCGGATTCGTCCCTGCAGGCGCAATCGACTGGCGAAGATAGCAATAGTAGCGATACGGCGATGAGCGACCACGAGCGCGACGAACGGGACGAGCGCGTCACCCCAAAGACTGAACCCTCCGACTATCGCGACATGATGGACGACCATAATCCTTACGGCACCAACGGGGGACTTATGGATCAGCGGACGCCGACGTTTCCCGGCGCCTTGTTAGGCCTGCAAGGCAAGTCTACCACTGTTCGCGTAATCTTGATTTCTCATTACGCAAGATAAATAACTTTATCGCGATAATTCTACAAACGATTGTGAGCACTTGCGACTATTAATTATGTGCATTTTTATAGGACTGCCGGGATTACTGCCTGGACCTTCCGGTATGCACAATAGTCCAGATAGTTTCGGTAAGTGTTATCCCAATATGCATTAATCTTTGTGTCACCAGTCACACAATACGAGAAAGTAATTAAATTGTGATATTGAAATACGCCGTATCACTAGTTGTAGTAGTGTGCTTCTTATTCTCTGATGGGTGTTATGTTAAAGTGTCATCCTTGAACAATTTATTCCCGGGTCGCATACAAGTTTCACAAGGACGCGTAGGGCCAATGTCCACGTGTCAATTTAAGTGACACTTTGCGTAGATGACGGTATCACCCATCTATATATTACTTTTTCTTTGCCTACCATTTGGCAAAAATAAGATTCATCATCGTACAGCAACCAAAATTGAAAAAGTATTCTTTTGTTATTTCTGATTTGCGGTATTATCAAGTTTAAAATTCAGCCGCACACATTACATAATGCAAGAGGGTGTTAAGCAACTCGGACCCATTTCGAAAATTTATCTCGCTGACAAGTAATCGATGATTTGAAAACATCAACCCCCAATGGAATATTCAAATATGGAAGTGATTTATTCACTAGACGTAGGCGCGCCCCGGCGTCGGAGGGTACGAAGGTGTCGGGAGGACGGTTTTGGATTCAGTCAAAATCTCGGGGCGCGAGGGATGAAATTTTCAAATATTTAACATAATTTGGCGACAAAGGTAGCAATGGTAATGGGGAAACGTAACGAGGCCCTCGTCAAAACCCGTCGGCCATGCGCATCTTGTTGCGTTCGTAATTAACCTACCACCACCGGATATAATATTCGCATTCTTAGCTCTCAGCGGTGGCGCGCGATTTTCTCCAATATGGCCGAGAGACCCTTCTGCTTGATCGTGTCCGGGGCGATGGCGGACTTTCTTGCGAGCGGGCAATTGATCGGAACACGCGGGTCCGGCGGCCGGGCGTAAGCGCAATACGCAGGGGATCACGGGGAGGAGCAGTGCGAGCGAGTTTGACATACGTACATTGCGATTTTCGTTTCACTCTTTCTCATGCGCGAAAGTAAAAGGTATTTACTTACGTGCATGTGTGAGATGTGCGGCGTCTAGTTACGCAACCTCCACGCGGTGGACCAAGTTGCACGCGCGTAAGACGAAGGGGGAAACTTCCGAATGTAGTTGTAGTAGTTTGCGGAACACGTAAGCATGCATTGCAAGCAACATCGGCCGGCTATTGATTTATACTCCGCCGGCCATCAGGGTGGACGACTCGGAATGGATGGACGGTTTTCTTCCGCCCCGCAGCGCTAGAAACGTTCGAATATTTAGTGCAAATTTAAATTCTTCTATATTTTGGTGCGTTTCTTTCGGGCTTATCGATGATACTTTAGGACTAGCTTGTTTATTTTTAGAAGCGAAATGTAAGGCAATTATTTCTTCCTGCCGATAAGGGCGGCCGGTATATTGATTTGGTATTTTTGTTTTGGCGAAAAGTAAAAATGTCGTAATTCCTGTCTTCTATCTTTTATTTTTCTTGCTTCAATACTCACGCACTTCCAATAAAAAGGGAGGGGATACGTGCACATCCAGATGTCCGTTTCGCAAGAAAACAGGGAGAGACGAAGAGCTAGTAAAAACCAAGCGCAAGTTTAGCGCGTCTCGAAACAATGCGAAGACGCAGGAAAGTTGGCGCAAACAACCGCATTGAATAATCAGACTTCTATATCTACATCTGCAAACACAATACATTTCTCTATTCGTTTTTCCTATGCCACAAAAATTACGGTTTGAATTCGGGAAAAGCTAAAATACTAGAATTTAGAAATTTGAGTTGTTATATATTTCAATGTCGTCACTGAGTCAACAAGCTAAATACGAGTTGGAAGCGTCATATGGTGATGTCAAATGTTAAATATTAATGAAATGCAAATCCATCTCAGTGGTTTGTGCGCTGAAAACCGAAAGTTTTTCTCCACCACCACCAATTTGATAATTGATATGAAAGTGCATGAATGAATACCATAAAAACATGAGTAAACGATGATAGTAAAACTATAGCGGAGACCTGGCATTCCAGATGCCACCAGGAGCACTCGCACAAGAACTGCGGCCGCGACTGCAAGGACGTCTTGCGTCCCCTCGCCGCTTCCAGCGATGGTTGCTGCCGCCAGCACGTCGCCGACAAATGAAGCGCAAGTCAAATACGAATGCCCGCTGTGCGACCTCGTTCTGCCATCTTTGAATGCGGTGCGAGCGCATATTGACGAGCACTACCCGCGCGACAGCCTCATATGTCCCGTGCGGGACTGCGCGAAAAGTTTCTTGCATCCGAACTCTGTACGCAATCACATGCGCACTAAACACTCCGTGCAGTGGAAAGTGATGAAACAACTGAAATGGACGGAGGTGGCGCGGATGTGCGCAGAGAATGCGTAAAAAGCGGCGCGTTTTTATAGTTGTTAGAGCGCATTGTCAGCGGAACGCGTGTGTATTCGATAACCCGCACACTGCAACCGCCCTCCGGGAACGATACTGTTGGCGGGGGAGCTCACATACCAACAAAAGACACTAACACATGATATATCCTATACACTAGCGCAGTGATAGTGATAATACAGTTACTATGAATGTTATTGCGGGAAATTTTTCATGTTTTCGACGTAAACAGGGAAATGGCAAAATCGAAAGTTCCATTTCAGTGGTAGAATGGCAAATGTAAAAAAGTCCGTAGCGAATTGGTATGACCTGCTGTGCGGTTCAAGAAAATCGTTAGACGAATTGCATCGCATGAAGTCATTATAAATATTAAAGTGGTGTGGAAAGCGCAGAATCAAGGAAATCACGCTTATTACAGTACAAACGCAAATACGAGGCGAGGCGCATAACGTTTTGTTAGGGGCTTAACGACGAAGGGTGGAGAATTGTATTCCGTATCATATCGGAATGATATAGAGTGTGGGAGAGTAACACCGAAAATAGCCGCGCATAATCGATAATTGTAGAGTGAAGCCAAAAAGGGGAATGCAAATAAACGCTCCAATTGTGATTTCGTTCATTGTCTCACTCTGCGCGCTTTCTCTCTCCCTCTCTCTGTTTTCGTCTAACTTTTTGCTTCTCCATGTTGAGAATTACCAACTAACAACCATTTTGTTCCTGAATCAATGTTATAACAACATTTAGAAATCTATGTGTAAACTACTCGTAGCCAAAGATAGAAAGTCAAAACATGTACATTAAATCAATTAATACGACGTAAGATTATAATAAATGCAAAGCATAGTTTTATATTGCTGTGATTAGTTGTCTCAAGTAATAAATAAATTGCCAAAATTCTTAAGAGTGCGTAGTAATTCCGGCTTCCCAATTCGGAACAAGTGATATTTATTTTCGGTCGAAGTGTTATTTTGAAAGTTTATAGTGGCTCGAGGTTCGCCCAGCAGAATCGCATTAAACTTTTCGCAGGCGGCCTTTGTCCATTCAGCTCTATTGATTTTATCTATTTGTATGTTACAGTATCAAGACGCTCCTTGGACATGATGCGAGTGCGAGCGACGGATCCTCGTCCTTGTCCGAAATGCGGCAAAATCTATCGTTCGGCGCACACCCTTCGTACACACTTAGAAGATAAACACACGATATGTCCGGGTTATCGCTGCGTGCTGTGCGGAACGGTGGCAAAATCGCGCAACTCCCTTCACTCGCACATGTCGCGCCAACACCGCGGCATTAGCACGAAGGATTTGCCCGTTCTACCTATGCCAGCACCCTTTGATCCTGACCTCGCCAGCAGGTAAACTTTTAATTTTTTCCTTCATATTTTTATGACTATATTGAAAGACCTGCCTGCTAACGAGTGATATTTTGTAGATTGTTGGCAAAAGCCGGAGTAAAAATAACACCTGCCGAATTGAGGGCTCGCGCTTCTCCCACAGGTCCTCGTCGCTCTGACGTCAAGTTGGACGCGAAGACTATGTACGCCAATTCGGAAGCGGGCAGTTCGATATGTGGTGATAATGATCCTGAGGATCTTACAACATCGTCGCAATCACATCACAATCGCTACGGTTTTGACATGGCTATGTCTCCGCCATTGATTCACTCCAATCACTCCAAGCACAAGATGTACTCAGGTCAAGCAATCGCGGCAAAGAGCATGGACTCTTTAGCGCACAATTTATCCAAAGAACCTTACCCTGCGCCGTTAGCACCACCCGCACCCGGAGGGAACACAACAGGGTCAGCTATCTTGGACACCTACTTACAGTTCATCACTGAAAATAGCAGCATGATGGGCATGATGTCCGAACAAGCAGCTGCAGCTGTCCACGCTGCCAAACTGGCGCAATTAAACGCCATGGGCTTGGACAAAGCGTCGCAGCAACACTTCCTCGAAAAGATGCAACAACAAATTGGTGCCGCCAGTGATTACATGTTAAAACGACAACAGGATGAGATCCGACGGGGTGATGGCGATGTCATTCACGACGAGAATAAAAATGACCGAGAATTAAACCGCGAGAAGGATCGGGATCATCGTCGTGATCATGAACAACGCGATCGTGAACGCGAAAATGAAGAAGGAGAATCTTCCGGTGGAGAGGATGAGTATAGTGAAGAGGAAGCTGAGCCGGAAGCCGTAAAAGTCAGCGAATAGTTTGGTTGCTTGACGCCACAGTTGCTTGTTGCCACAGAAATTGACAAAAAACGCGCGAATGATAAGTAGTTGACTAAGCGTAAGTGTTATCTTAGCGTAAGAGCAAACAGTTGAACTTGCCATTTATATGATACGTCTAGTATAACGAATACTCATTTAATTCCATCCAACTACCTCTATACAGACATACTCTATACAAAAAAATATATTTACACGATATTAAAATACGAACAAAACGCGACCGAAGAATTCATGCCGTCGCGACTGTTAATTTTAATTCCATCCGTCTACCTCAAAAGAACAAATAGTTTATGATTCTAATGCAAAATGATAAAAATGCAAACAATAAGGGTTCTGATAGTATACGGTATTTATATATTGATATGAAACAGTTTAATACTAAAGATAAATCATACAGTTGACACAGGTTTTAACAAGGTTTTGCAATGCTAACGCTATACTGGAGTTATTAAATAACTTGAGTAATGATATTTACTAGTAACGCATTAGATAACAAAAGCGACTGACGATATTTGACATCAGAACGAATTTGGTAGCGAATTGTAACTGCCTAATATGTTTCACTCTTAATATATAGGACATGTGTGCCAGGAAACTAGAATTTCGTTGAGTACAATCGTAAAATAATAATTCAACACTGATTTATTGAGGTGTTGTGTACTCCAAGCCGCACATTCCAGTGATTTGTTTGTTTTGACTTGTTCGCATAGATACAACCAACACGGGTTTTTATTGACGGGTATTTTAATCGAATCAAATTATTCGAAATCAGGTATTACACTAGTACAAACACAACAAATATAACAAATCTTACAGAGTAATAGACATAGTGTTGTAATAAATTATCATATTTTTCTACATATGTGTGTACCAGACAGACATTCAATATCAAGTTCAACATTCAACTTCATTTTCTAAGTTGTTCAAGAAAAATATTGAAGACTACGATAGATGCTTCCTGTACTTACTACAAGCAGTATGACGCTTCCATGGACAAATATTAAGTAAGCAATTAAATAGTTAGGTGAACAATAATAATACAATCAATACGAATGGAAGCGATATCAGTTTCTCAGGTATTACTTAAACGTTCAGTACAAATGTGATGCATTTCATTTTCAAGATGTAATTATATTATGATTAACTCTTCAATTCAGGGATTTTTGTTCTACGTTTATTCACTAAGCACAACTGTTATACATATCCGTGATACAAATTCAGGTATTTTACAATATCCCCCCACACAGTCATATTACACAATCAGATGTTATAGTTGTAGACGAAGATATTTTCTCTTCAAGCAAGGTACTTCCAAACATTAACTATATGCTTCCGAAAGTTTGTTTCAATTTCAATATCGACACAAATCGTGAAATAACCCAAGCAGCGTTGTTTAGCTCATTCCAATGTTTTGTTCATTTACGAATATGGTCGAAACTAGAGCGTATAAATGAGTGCTAGTTTTGCTTTGTTTAGTGATGTCTATTGCGAATCCATTGTTGAAGTTGCGAATGACCTAAAGTACATGTGAACATGTTAGGATGCGTGATACAGGTCACCAAATATTTATGACTAGTGAAACTTTATAAACATAAATAAATAATACATAGTAAATTCCATAATAATTTAGATTAGTCGACGTCATTGTTAATTAATGATTAAGCATTTGCGGCGCACTGCGCTTTGGAAGAAGTTGAAAAAAATTAATATGTAGAAGCAACGGACAGTCGGATACTGATAAAATGCAAGTGCGCTAATACGATGAAGCATCTGAGCGATACGATTGTTACAACACAGTATACCAATTTACAAGAATACTATTTTAGAAACTAAATTTTAACCGTAGCGGACAGGCGAATGGACAGATAATACAAATAGAAGTAATTAAGCAAAGTAAAACATAAATATATATTTAGAGGCGCACCGATTTTACACAAGAAGAAAACTAGTTACAAATAATGATTAAAAAACTATTAAAAACGAGTATACTAAAAATTACAAATGGTATACTAATATATATCGCTTTAAAAGTAAAACAAATAGAAGTCCGTACTTAGTAATTGGTAACCAAGAAAGCAAAGTACTATAATAAATAGATGCAATAGTGTAGCTTCTTCAATGAGTAGTTGAATAAAAAGTGAACAGAGAAAGACGATTTTACGGTGCAGTTTTTTTTGTATATAGAAACATTGTTGTCATTTGCGGTTACGATTTGTGTTATAGTTTGCGTTACATTTTTGTTCTGGAAGTAAGAAAAGACTTGATTCATTTGTATATAATCAACAACAGGCCAAACATTTTGTCTACCTCGATAAACGCTTCCTAACTTTAGAGAATGCCGTTTATAGCATTTAAAAATAAAACAATCAGATCTCCTATATTTTGTGGCGTTTCGCTTACAGCAATTATATGTTAAATAATTAAACTTGAAACCGGTATTAGGTTAAAACATTTTTTATAGGAATATGATATGTACTTAATTAGTAGTTTACAATTTTGCCCTAATCATAGCATGTATTTGTACATAAAATTGATTCATTTCGTAATTTTAACTTATTTTAGTGCGATTTTATTGGATTGTAAGAAATTTGCGTTGTTTGAAGTGCGAATTGTTTCGAAATTAAACAATATAACACATTCTTGAGTGTGTGTGATTGGATTTCGATCAGTTTGTGCACAAAGAACATCTGAAATGGCGATTAATAACGAGCTTAGACATACTTAGGGATGTTCGAATTCATCTTGTGGGTGCCATATTATAATATTGTTTTCTAGTAGACATTACGCATATACATATTTTTATTTGAATCGTTTTTTATGTTTGCAAAACGTCAATACGTTTACGTGCTGGAAGTTATTTATTACGATACAAAATATAATAGTATTTTGTAAGAGATAACCGGACTAATGGTTCCTAATTTAACAGTACGGTTCCTCAACAATATTTATTTGCTGTGGATTGCCCAACAAGACACAACAACTCTTCTGTAAATAATTATTAAAAAATGCCGCTTTGAATGTTCGATTAGATGTTTGCACACATACACAAGTAAAAAAAAACAACAAGTAAGCAACACACAGTAAGATAAATTTGAAGAAAGGGTATATTTGTAGATTTATATACTGATGATGTAATCGGCAATGAGAGGATTATATTATATACTATTGTTGAGGAACTGGGTGCCTTCTGAAATAAAAATTCGATTGAAATAAAGAAAATCGAAAATCGGCTTCTTGGAGTGAAAATGATTGTGTTGGTTATTCAAACTGCAAACGTCGACACATGCGAGCAATGTATATTTTATTTAAATCGCGATTGAAACGGAAATTTATGCAATATAAACAGCAACATAAAACTTCGAAGCCGAAAAACGCAGAGTTCCTAAACCTCTCACTACCCTTCTAGGAGAGTAAAAAATTATTATTGCGACGTACGTATAATTATAAAAGTGTTTTATATTAGAAGTAGGTGAAACATTTGACGAGTTCATACTATGTGAAGGACCGCAAATGTCGATTTGAGAACTTGCGGTCGAGTTCAAGGGATTATATGAACACGATATTTGGAAGGATAAATAAGGTGGAACCATAATAACAATATAAAGTAAGCGTACTTTGGAAGAGATAAAGCAACACAAATATTAGTGTAATGTGTATAAAACTGAGTAGAGTATTGCGAACCTGCAATTCATTTTGGTTATATAGGAATATCGTAAACGTGCATTCGAAGAAAGAAAATGATAGTTTTGCATTCGTTTGCAATTTGTTGCATTAAGTCGTTATTGGTAAATTTGTACTTAAATATTTAAGCTATTTTTTACATTTACTTAATTATTACTTTGTTTGTATTATATAACTTTCACACTCATTTATAAATGTGTTTAGTTTTAAATGATATAGCCCTTAATAATTTTATGTTCCTAATTATGTGTTGAGAATATGTTGATTAGGATGTCTCTTTGTTCAAAATTATAATTCGGTCCGCGGATTGATTAAAGTAAATTATAAACTTGCATATATATTATTGCCTGATTATTGTAACGTTTAAGTTAAAACAATGTTAGTGGTAGGTGCAATAAGAAGAAAACCGTTATTGATAAGTATGTTAATTGAACAAAAATGAATGAAGAACAAATAAAACAACCTTTTTGCCATAGTTTTGTTATTTTTGACTACGCTGGAATGGTGCGAACGTCAGTTTAGTAATAGGTACGTTGAATATCAACGTTTTCCTTCTTCCACCTTTAAAGTTCCAGATTTTCCACCGTTTTGAAACACAAAAAGTGGTACTTTAAACACGAACAGCTAAGGCTTGTGCCTGCGCATTTACCTATGGTGCAGCATACTCGTAAGTCAAGTAATGTGCTAGCGAATTTCGAATATTTAAAATATATTATTACTTTGCAGTTCCAATACAAAAACCTTAACCATGGAAAAGGAGTGGAAGTCACAGATTTTCTGCTTTTTCTCGTTTTAACGATAGAACTTCTTCGGCTAAGGTGTGTCTTTGTAGTCCTCTTAAGGGCCTACCAGGTCCTGTAACATTTGCTCAGTCAACCCCCGGACGAAATAATTAAATCTAAGTATTAGCATTTAACAATGAACAACTAAATGAAAATTAGAATGTTGAATGATCAAAAACGCCCATTTTCAAATTAGTGACACAGTTATCTTTAAATTGCAAAGCAACAAGTTCCAGGTGAATCATTTACATGCTAACTTCTTGAAAAACTTTGAAAACGTTGAAAATACTTAAAGATCATTCTCATCCGCATATTTCCATTCCTCATGATCGTGTGCTCATGTGCTAGTGGTACTTCACTTAGCATTTCAATTGTTCCTGCTTCTCAACATGCCCGTGCTGTTCATATCGATGTCATTTTCCATCGTGCATTGGCGAGTCATGCAAACACGATCTTTCAAGAGCTTCGTGGACATACTCTGTGCCGGTGTCATGTCGGCATTCGGCATGCCTTACGTTCACATTTCGCCCCGTGTTATTTATTGCATTTTAAGGCGGCGTGCATACGAATATGATGGGCAAAATAAATGTGCGACTCACTATGTGCATGTTAAACATTAAATATTGAATGCACACGCTTTTATGTGTTTTGCACTGGCTTGGCGCGCGGATTATTCGCGTTTATCTGCCCGACTGTGACGTGTTGAAGAAATAAACTGTAACGCAATATAAACGAGTGTCCTTACACGCCGTAGGTACCTAGTACCTAGTGTCACAAGTGGATGTGCTTAAATGTGATTGCGACAGACAACAAATACTCCAGCGATAATAACAACGTTTTTGTCGCGACCCAATTGAAAAACTCAATATTTATTTATGTTTTTCTTGATTTATGTTTTTAAAGCAAATATGTTTACTTACGACCGATATGCAATAATATTCAGCAATATTTACTTGCATATATGCAAGTTATTAATGGCGAGGACATAAAATACCGAGTTTCAGAGGCGAAAACAGGTCCAGAACTTTTTGGGAATCTTGCTTCATGACGGGGTAAATACAATTAAAGGATTTGCATAGATAATTGTAGCCTAGATTGTGAACAACTAATAATTTTGTGAATTACGTGAATTTTGCAAACTTGAGTAATTCCAATATTTTTGAAGCTTTCATGAACATATTCGATGTGATAGTTAGCGACTTTATTAAAAGTTAAACTACTCAATTCACACTTTTCCTATCTTATTAGGTAATTAGTCATATTTTAGACAAATATTTTAAGTACAATTTTCACCTCAAGAATAAGAGTGATAAATGGCATTTGTAACACTACTCCAATTCCATAATGCGCAAATTAATTGCGTTTTGCTCATTCAAAAAATAACGTGTTTTGAATTATTTTTTAACTTCTAAGATTTTTTCAGAAAAGCCGACTTTCCAAGTAAAAAATACATTCCTTGATTCGACTCGCATCCACTTTTACTTTTGAGGTAGAACCAAATGTTTTTGCAGGTATCTAATGTAACTACAGTTTCATTCAGTTAGTGTACATTTGCCGCCTTCGAGTGCTAGGCGGATATATATTCCGGTAATTCGCCGGCGAGAATCTCGCGCAATTTAACTTGTTCCCGGGGGCGAGCTTGTAACGTATTGCCGCTTCAGTTTTCAAAACGCACACTCGGGTTTTGCACGTTTCTTACTTACTGCCGGTTCAAAGAATGACAGAACAAAATAATGATAGCTATTTTCTCAGCCCGTATATTATTCGGCGAGCTATCCGAAAATATTTTGCGGAAACAAAACTGTCAGAGGTAGGCTACCACTTGGGTATTTTAAAAATTTTTTGGCATTATTTACGAGTACATGGCAATAGTATTCAATTAGCTATATTAAAGAATGATTCAGCCTTGCTCACCCTTTGTGATTTATAATTATCATTATATACTAATTGATTAATATACTGTTATTATCGTTTCACTCCTCATGTAGCATAAACATCATTTCATTTATTAACTTCAATCAATAAAAACAGGGAAAAGTCAACCGAGACCTAACTACTAAGGACTTATGATTCATCGTAAGAAACCACAAGATGAGGGTGATGTTTGAATCGGCCACAACGGACTCACGAACATTTCGAAAACGTGCTCGTTTATACTCGCTTAATATAAAAAAGCAGGGCGGTACGTGGCGATCCAAAGATCGACCTTATCCATTGATATAAAAACGTATTACGAGATATGGTGGTCAAATATTATAGAAATCTTCTTTGTTATCGCCAGGGCTGTCTACTTTTAGATGAAGCAAAGCCTCCCTTATCGAAACGTGAGTGAGATTGATAATGCTTGGAATGCGAGAGTACAATACCTGATCATCTCTTAGTGTAAATCCAGTGAAATCTCTGGGAACAGTGAGTTCCGGCTTAACTTCAGCTTCAAGAAAAGTTTTTTTTTATCAAACATTCGTGAGAAAATTATATGAAACGGGTTTCACATAATTGGTTACAATTAACCATGAGAAAAGAGCTACTCCAAAATGAAACCCACTTACTCATTGAAGTATTATCCTACATTTGAGCAGATAATGAAAAATCTTTATTGCAGCAAGATCAGTGACAATTCAGTGTTGGGCAAAAATGCGGGTCATAATTGGTTGATATAATTGCAACATTATTTTGTACTCAATCCTTTAATATAAATAGATTGAGGGCAACTATATTACGTATTTCATATAATATGGGGAAGTACGTCTGACTCGTAATAAATTTGATTACTGCGTGAGTAAATTTATTTATTAAGAGTTAACTTTTTTGACATTCCAGACATCTCGAATGGCATGTATGCGACCTTTTGTTCTCCGTTATTTAATGCTTTCGTCGCCCATTTATAGCGCTCCGGTCATTTTTATGTGATGTCTAATTTCATTTGAAGAAATACGCTAGTCAATGGTCGATAGGAAATTCCTCGTAACGAGAATTCCTAACTTATCGTCTGTACCCATTTTATTTTAACAATACTAGTTGTGACTAACAATGATCGCTTAAATTCGTCCATTTCACCGTGCTGCCGTTGAATGTCAGCCCGTGAACGCGACTTAAAAGAAGTCGATGATACTAAAATCCAGTCGATACGCAGCATCTACTGCATCTTGGACGTGTCGCGAAGGAATATCCAACCGAATGGTGCGCAGCTCGCCGTAACGAATGCGTAGATTCCAACCTACCTCAACACGTTCACAACTCACGTCACACTGCATCGGGCACTGCGCAGAAACAACACGGAATCGTAAAGGTGAAGTGCCACATACGTGCAGCGATTTAAACATTCTATCTTCTTTCGGCGCGCTGCGCACCGGATGCTTTATTAATACTTTTTCACGCCGTGGCATTCCAGCCTACGCATCTAATGATTGAATTAATAATGCGGTTATTGTCAACGTGTTTTTACCATCGGGGTATCGCGCATTATGCAATGGCAATGACCACAAGAGTGTACCTGGAATCACATCGTCAATGCCGCGCAGCGTGCGGCATTGCATTCCTTCAAATTCAACCAATCTTAGCGCAGAACAACGTGTCATGAAAATATTTCATGAAACCGGCGTTGTGCTTTTTTTCTTTTTAGTGTGCAAGCACATGCATGACAATTCTTTACCCTAATCTAACATATTTACTACTCAAGTATTAAAATGGAAACAATTTCAAGTGTAAAAACTTCTTTCTTTTCATTATTTAATATTTGTAATTAGTATAAGAAAACAATTGATTTTTGTTTTACAATACGTTTAATATGAACAACAATGAATTCATTCAAATTTTTAACAATACCAGATCGGTAGGCTTTACAATTACTATACCACTGGTAATGCCCAGCCGATGGCACTGCCGCAGCTAGTATTAAGTACCAGTTCTAGTATCCTAGGGTATGTTGCTAGTTGTATGCCGCCTTCGCTTGAGCTTATACCTTAGCTTCAGCTTCATTCGTTGCAGCGGTAACACGCGGTAACATTACCTTCTTTAACTATATCACGCTCCTCGCATAGTGTGCGTCTTCTTTCAAACACTCCGTACCGGCGTGCTTGAATGTATTGCGTTGGTGTGTAGTTCAATCCCGGCGTGCACGTTCCATCCGACCCGCCGGTCGGTTTAGCACGTCCCGCCATCGTTGTGCGGCGTGTGTCTGTCAGTCGCGTCCGGGAATCCGCGCGCTTCGCATCGCTGAATAGGCACTATCCGCGCAACATAATCATCCAACATACGCGAGTGTTATGGCACGCGTCAAAATATTTTCAAATTAACATTAGTACTATTAATATACATTTAAATTTTACACATGACGAGATTCTTTTAATTAAAAAGTGGACTGCGTAAACCGAAGCATGCCTTGGATAAAGAGTTGTCTGTGTCATCAGGAAAAGAAGAGGACTCCGGTGATCAGTCCACCGATTCAATTGTTATTAAAGGTAAGACTTTAGTATAAATTTTGCCAGTTACTCCAATTCTTGATTTAATATGTATGTTGTAATGTGAGGGCATTGCTGAAGTTAATTACCTCATTATAATATTTTCGGAGGGATGACTTTGATGTTCATCCCTTGTGACGTGCTACTAGTGTAGAATTTCAACAACTTTTCCACATTCGAGTTCGTGGAACATGGTAGAGTTGACAGAAGCAGATGACAAAAGTTTGCCCAAA